CATGTTGCATAAATAATTTACAAAAATATGTTTAAAAATACAGTGTGGACTCCGTCGATAAATCTGAGGGGGTGGGGGGGGGGAGAGACACTTTAAAATTTTCTGTAAAATAATAACTCCATTTTCAGTATGTGAAACCATTACTCAAATATTATAATCCTATAATGTATTGTAAATTATAATATATGTTACGTAAATATGTAAATTTAGTTGATCGTAAAACTGTAAATGTTTCAACAGTAACTTTTACAGGAAAATAACCGTAATTACAGTTTTTAAATATATAAGAAAAATCGAATCCTTTCCTTCTTACTAAACTGTTCTTTATTTACTAAACTTTTTTATTTAACTAATTAAACAAAATAGTTTGGTAAATAAAAAGAGAGGATTCGAGTTTTCTTATTCGTCCTTAATTACAGTTTTAGTGTTTATTTAGTAACTTGAATTTTTAAAACAAGCCACCTTTTAACTTGTATAATCTTATAATAGTTTAGGTTGACGTGTCTGCTTTTATATCTGTGCTCTTTGTTTTACAATTCGCCCGGGAGTGTAAACTCTAGTTTATTTGACGAGAATTGAATCTGTCGGCTCTAGTCTAGGTATAAAACAATGGAATCTGTCGGCTCTAGTCTAGGTATAAAATATCTGTGATATTTGCTTACTTCTCTCTCTCGTGGTTAGATGTTGTATAAACGGCTATGAAAAATTGCGAGATAAAACAGTAACAGAATTTGGTAAGTTATAAATAATCAAACCAAAGTGTCGTCTAAACTTGCTGAACACAAGATATCTTCCACTTTTTACCCAAATGTAGCTGCCAGATGAGCCTTTAACGTCTGGTTCATCATTGCCTACTACGTTTATCTATTTGTGACAGAACTTCCTTCACATTAGGCCCAGGAGTTTATCACATCACGTGTAAAACGATACAATTCTTTAACTTCGATTATAAAAGTTGTGTAAAAAGTTCAGTGAAACCCCCGCCCCAGCTAAGTGGCTCAGTGAAGTGCCGGATTTAGAGGAGGTGCATCCCTTGCAATTGTACGATCGTCTCGAATCCCAAAGAAGGGGGTCTCAAAGGGTCTAAATATGGCTCTGGCTCAGCGGCAAGTCTGAAGGCTTGTAGCACTACAAAACGGATTTTGATACCCGAGGTGGGCACACCACCTGTAACCCATGGTTTAATTTTGTTTTACTAGTAATCCCACAGAGAAACTACAATCAAGTTTGCAAAATTTTCTAGCACCTTTTTTTTTTAAAAAAGAGAAATGGCCACTTAGATTAAAAAAAAAAATAGTTATTTTCTAGCACCCATTTTTTTTCAAAGAGAAATGACCACTTAGATAAAAAAAATACAAAAATAAATAAAAAGGTTGTTATTTTCTAGCACCCATTTTTTTCAAAGAGAAATGGCCACTTAGATAAAAAAATACAAAAATAAATAAAAAGGTTGTTATTTTCTAGCACCCATTTTTTTTTTAAAGAGAAATGGCCACTTTGATAAATAAAAAGGTTATTTTGTTCTGTGAATGTATATCTAGTCTTTGGCTGTCATACGTAGCTGCCCCTCCATTAGCACGACCTCCCTATTCAGTTCAATTGGTGTACCA